TTTGTATTCCATTTTGAATGCTGAAATCCACTGCCGTTCCCCTCCTCCCTCTTTGAAAAGAAAACACTTAAACTTTTGTACCCAAATTTCCAAGTCTCGTCTAACCCATAGGAGCAATTTTTAAGATGTGTAAAAACTGAAATGGTGGTGACCAATTTTTCACAAAGTCTTCTGCATTTTGCATAGAACAGTAAGATTTTTGCGAAAAATAAGGTGGACTTTGGACAAAGAGCCAGTCTCAGGGAAAAATAAATAGTTATTCTTTTATTGTGTGGAAATATTAATTAACTCTTTTTTGGAACTGCGTTGGCTATGCTGGCAACCATTTGTAGTCGAAGAAAATGACTTTGGGTGGTGACAGATACTCCACGCCGATTAGTTTGCGACGAGAGAAGAGAGTTTTTGTAAAAATTTGGTTTTAAGTGGAAAAAGTGCTATACGTGCTACCACCAATACTTGAGATTGCAAAACGCTCACTCGGAAGAGTAGCCGAAGAAAAAGCAAATTGAATGCTTTGGGCATTAATTAGCTGGACAAGTTGACAAAGCACTCTGTTCACAAACACGACACATTCCTCCAAACGAGGGACAGGAATGGTGAAGCAAAAGTTTTTTCATTCAATAACAACGCCTGCTATTCATTCGTTAAGGCGACCGGTAAATAATGGCAGTTGTCCTCACACCAAGGTTAAAGGAAACAACGAGGAGAGCATTCAAGAGCTCATTCAATGAGAAGTCTTGCTTTCAATGCCCATTGTTTATGACAAAGAAAAAGTAATTTATTGTGCCAATATGCACAGCTACTTTCGCACTCAAGGCGGCCTATTTATGGCAATACTTATGCAGCTTCTACATGAGCTTTACGTCCAACGCTAACGATACCTCCTCATGCATCGAGTACGAGACAACGTCGCTACTCCACCTCCTATAGCCAAAACGCCGTTTAGTCAGTTTTGTAATAGTGTGGGTATTTTGGAGAAATCAACGAGAATAATAATGTCCAAAGGGAGCTAAGTAAAAAGGAGGACTCGAAAATAGTGCAGTGTTACACTTACGTGGGTAAAAGGTGAGAAGATATGCTAATATGAAGGCGCGCACAAAATGCATTGCAGATGCGTTCCCATGGCCATCGTTCGGCCTCACCACTAAAAAGGGGCAAAAGTAAAGCTTCTCTCAAGTTCAAATCGGAATTGGCTTATCGTAATAAATAGAGTGATTCCAAAACTTCCTTTCTGGACTTCAGAGGTACAATTTGAAACAGAAATTATCTGAACGAATGGGTTGGATTCCAAATGTTGTGGAATTGCCGCTCGAAGGAATACCTCTGGATGTTATAAGGAAGAGGTATTCTAGCGAATCAACCTTTACTGCTGTGACTGACTCAACCTTAATCCTTCTCATAAAGGGCGAATGTAAAAACCCTGGGCCTGTTACTTTACCCCAATTTTTAATCGGATTGTACATCAGATGGAACACCTCACAGCGCGGAGACCGACAAGAACAGTTCGTCCAGAAGTCAGCTATATTGAGACATTGGCAGCTTTTACGTCAATCTTGAGAATGGACTGTAAATTCGCATTTTCAAGCAAGTTGGATTAGCAGTTTCTGATTATGTTATTTTTGTCAAGTAGATTAGGGAAGCCGCATGAAGGGAGTGGTATTAGGAAGTAAGCCTGCGCCCAAAACGCACGCCTTAGATAAGGCGTTTGCAGTAAGCCGCGAAGCGTAGCGAGATTATGGGGAAAATGGCTCTATGTACATTGCAATTGTGCATTCCATGTTGCAGCACAAACAAAGCATGGGTAGCGCGAGCGGAGTCGAAGATGGGGAAAGTTCACGCAAGTGGCATTAAATCACATTCGGTCTGTGTGGGTCGGTAGAGGGTGCGAGCTAGGTAATTTTTCATGCGGCGATGTAGAAGTAAAATCCTCG